TTTGTAGCTTGTGATGAAAATTGGAGTGGTCAGATTTACAGATGTTAAAAATGTATATTTAACATAGGTAAAAAGGAAGTTGGTATCTCTGGAAAACAGCCTGTGATACTAAAATCCAGGATCCAGGGATGCTTGAGAAGTGGATGTAGAATCATGTCAATAGGATGAATAAATTTCTGTTATGAAATATTTAGAAAGCAAGAAAAGCAACACACTGAGAACAATTTTGGGTCTAGGGGTGTAGCTCAATTGTAGGGCACATATTTTGCATGCATGCAGCTTTGGGTTCAACCCTTAGCAACTTCAAAAAAAATCTAACATATGTAAATTTGTATTGTCTGTGTGTGACTAAATTATCTGAGCATTTAACCAAAAAATATTACAGGTTTATCTGCATTCATTAAGAATTTTATATTAAATTTCTGCATTGGGAAAATGGAGTCTTTATATTAAAAGATGTGTGGTAAAAGACAATGGGACCACATTTTCCCCTATTTTTGCTCATAATAGTAGAAAGTAAAGGAAATAAAGGACTTAGCAAGAGGACTGGGTTGAACCTCAAAACATTTCCCAATAGGTAATGCATTAGAAAACAAGATCTGCAGAATGTTTGTAAGTGTTATCCCTGGGGTGCAGTTTGCATTTGCAATCACTGTGAGAGTCAACACAAAAAGTCTTATTACTCCGTCTCCCCAAATCAAATTACATCTGACTGTGAAACTTCATGCTCATGAGGGAGAAAAAATTTAAACATAATGATGTGAAGGGCGCTGTTCTCCTACCCACTCACCATGATAAGATCTCCAGGAACCTAGACACATCAGGCCAGGTTGAAGTGCTCTAAATCAAATTGGTAGACTCAGTTTCCAAGGCAGTGTGGCCCCTTGTGGTGGTGGTAGGGAGACAGTTTCCTGTTTCTTATGTGTCTTACTCATTTGATTCTGGTTTGAGATTTAGCTGCAGAAGCACAGGGCCCTTCCCCATAGGCTCATCTTATAAAGCCTCAGAAGGATCTCCCTCTTCTCAAGAACAAAACATACATCATAGGCTGCTTCCTGTTTGGAATCTCTCGCTTTCCCAGCACCTGCTTCTTCAGTCTTCTCTCCTTTAAACCCTAAAGTCCCATTCTGCTTCTTGAGGAAGGTAACTTTTCAACATTGGAGACAAGGGCTGTCCCAAGTCTTCAACACTAAGACTAAGGATATAGCTGTGAGAGAGTCACCAAGTCTTCAACACAAAGACCAAGGTTATAGTTGTGAGAGAGTCACACTTTTTTTTTTATTTGACTCTTCCATAACCATGGAAATATATCCCATTCTCTTAATAAATTATCTTACCACTCTCTACAAAGTTAAGTGAGGGCATGTGCTGAAGTCAAGACAAGTCTGCAAAAGGAGTGGGTTTATTTTCTTGGTGGCCTTTCAGAGCCTTTCTGGCTTGCCCTTCAGGACCTCCCCTTGTGAGATGGTCAAAGGACACAGCCTTTACCTCTTGGCGGAGCTGCCCCCCTTGACCAGGGAACCATGGTGCTGCCCTTTGCAGTGAGTAGGTGAGGGTAGCACTCATGGGCAGATTCAAGCAGAGCCTGTAGCTTTTGCCCGGGAAATGAAAGGCATCAGATGTGTCAAGGAGTCTACACACCAGCATCCACCACACATACGGCAAATGATATATCTCCTAAGAAGACACCTCATGTGTGCAACTCATGATCTACAGTCTCAGGCTGCAAAACAAACAACTCTGGTGCCCCATGGATGCTTCCACTGGCATCTCCAAAATTAGTTGTGCTAACTACTGAGCTCTGCTGCCCAGAGCCGAGACCTGAACCTGCTTCTCATTCCACTGGCCGACTTGCAAGTGTGCTGCGTCGTCCTTGAGCATCTCCAAGGGACTGGCACTTGTGGGTGAACTGGAGTGTGTGCACAGGCATCCCTTGGCAGGAGGGCTTGTGTCTTTAAAACGGAGAATGACGTGAATCCTGGGCACCATTTCCTTTCCCTGCAATTTCACATTCCGAAGCTTTCCTTTCATGGGTTACTGTGCCCCTACACACTTGAAGGTGCAAGTAATTTTGCTCATTTGAAGAGTGTGAATAAAGCTTGGCACTTACACTGTGCTGTGTCTGCTCCAATCACCCATTTCTCATTATTTCCTATTATGGGGCATAAAACAGTTGTATTACAGCTATCACCTTCCGCTTCCACTGCGGTTTGTAAGGCAGTTGATGCCGCAGGCTCTACCTATAGATTATTTTGTGAGATTAAAATGAATTTCAGAGGTTCTTGTCTATAAAACAGAGCTCAGCATAAATTAGATAAAAAAAATCCAAGAGAAAATTCAGTCCAGTGAGAAATCTGACCCCCGACACTCTAAATACGTAGTTATTATCCATCTTTGAAATGTTTTCCATGCAAACCCTAAACACATTTACTGGGACTAGACTTTCCCAAACTCATGCCCAGACTTACATTTTCCCTTTCTGAAAGAGCCCACTTAACATAGTGTGTCACCGTGTCTACTCCGGGGGTCTGCCACTGTTTAAAGGATTTGCTTGTGTTGGTTATCACGGGGGTCTCTAGGAGGTTTGGCTTAAGGTGTTGGCATTTGGTGAGTAGCATACACAGGTCTGGAGTGAACACCAGAAGCCCGGACTGTGAGACCCAATCCTACCAGTGCTGGTTTACTGATCTTGAATATATCACGTGACCTTTCCAGACCTCTGTGTTCTTCCTCTTTGAAGTTACCATTAGTAGCAGTATTGTGAGGATTAAAAGATTAGCCCTGGAGATGGACATAGCATGATGACTATCCTGTCAGGAACTACACAATGAAGGCTCTCTGCCTATTTATAGACACATAAAATCTCAAGCCTTAATCTTCTTCACTTACTAATTGAGGATCATCATTTCTGCTCAACAAATGTCTCAGAGGTGCTATTAGGGTACAACAAAACTCCATCTGTGGGAATGCTCTTAGAGAAGTCCACAGAATCCTTAGCATCCTGTGTGACTCTGAATGTCTGGAATCCTCTGCAGCTCATGGTGGTTTCACCTGAGAGATGCCCAACCATTCTGATATCTGTTGAAGAGAATGTTGCTGATCCTGTACCCTGATTCTTTCCAAATTCCTCTTAGTGGCTGTCAAAAGATAAATCAAGGAACAATTTTAAAGTATTTATTTGCCTGACCAGTGATTCATGATTAAGTCAGCACCAGATCACAAGCAGTTGGGGACTCTGCTCAAGGAGCGTGGGAGGGAAGGTGCGCAGAGGTTATAAGAAGAAGCGAGGTAACATATGTCTTTGATTGTTAAGACAGAGCATTAGCCTTATGTGGATCATCCCATTGAAAGTCCCTAGTTAGAAGTTGGTTGTCAGTTTCCGATTGGTTAAGATTAAGTTACATTTTACCCTTTACTCTGAGCTAGGTTTTAATTTGCTTATGGAGGAACCAAGAGTTCTGGGGCTGCCTTTCTGTTCATTACAGTTGTGTACCACCTAGTGGTGGAGATATGTTCAGAGAAATGTGTTGATAGCATATTTTATTGTGTAACTATTACAGAGTGCCCTCCCACAAATCTACATGGTCTACATCCTTCACCTGATGGTAATCAAGGGGTGTAGTAAACAATAGACAGTGAGGCTCCTGCCCTCTCACCCGGCATGCTGCTACATAGTAAACTATTGTTAATGTAAAATAATGATAAAGTTGTAGTACAGTAAATGCATACATCAGTAACAGTCTATTATCATTATCAAATATTATATAGAATATAAACTGTACAAGATACACTTTTATTTGACTGGCAGTGCAGTAGGTTCCCTTACATTAGCATCCCCCACAAACGTATTGTTAAGGTATTGTGACCTTAGCATGTCTACATTGCTAGGTGGGTGCAATTTTTTCAGCTCCACTACAATGTTATGTTGCACACGACTGTGTTTAATGTGCTCAGGGGGCTGCTGGCTCCATGGTTTGGATGCTGACAGCCTTGTTCAAGACAAGGATCTTTCATGGCTTTGGTTTTCAGGCTCTTCTGTGTGGGGGAAGGAAAGAGTTGAGAAATTTAAAAAGCATTGAATCTGAGTGTGCTGAAACAGACTGTGTTGCAGTGTGTTTAGCTGTAGTGCTGTCTCCAAGAGCAGAGGTAACCGTGTTCCTCTATTCAGTGCCCTGCAACTTTAAGAGACTTGGGTAGGATGGGAGATGGGGCGGGGCCTTCACTGCCCCCTGGGTCATCACAGGGAAGATGCGGAGTGAGGTGAGCCCATGCGTGAACACACCTTTCTTGTCCCAATCACATCACCGCAGGAGAGTTTGCCACAACTGTGTCTTCATATTGACTGCGAACCTTGAGAGAATACCCTTAGGGCCTTAGTTTCCCACACCAAATGAAGCTGGCTGTCTAGACCTTGCTCGTGTGTTGTAAGAGTTAAATTTGAAAATATGAACTAAGAAAGCTTAGAACCATTTTTATAAACTCTAAAATGAGCATCTTGCTAACATGATTGACTCAGCTTCCCTGTTATTTCCACCTAAGGCAGACACTGCTAGCAAGCTAGTCCACAGTGCTTATGGGTCCAGAAAGCCATATGTGAGAACAGCCCTTGGAAAGGAAGCTGCAGGTAGCTGAGGAGACGCAGCGAGGGAGGAAAAGTTTCCAGATGCTGTTCAGGCAAAGCACAGGGCCTGGGATCTTACTGGTGAGGCAGTGCGACCTCTGGAGGTTCTGCAGGCTTCTCCTGAATGAATGTTCTGCTGTGGGTGCTGTGAGGAAATAGCCTTCCACACCCGTGCAACCCAGCACACCTCTGCGTTATTAACTTCAGCCAAGTTATTGGTGCACCTTGCACCTATATTCTTATGTCAGTCTACAGAGAAAGAAAAGAATTCCAGGGCCCATAAAATGGTTCTGTAAGCTAGCAAATCAAATTACAGCTGATATCAGAGAGTGACACAAAAGAAAACAAACCATAAACATGAGAAATTAAGTTGCAGGGTATGGGTTTTTATCAAACTAAATCAGAAGCAAGCAATACCTTCTTCTCTTGTAGGGCCCGTGCTTGAAATAAAATGAATGCTTGCTGGGGTGTGCAGTCTCTTGTTGACGTGCTCTGATGTGTCAGGTGTACTAGGCCACAGAGTGAGCTTCAGAATGGAAATGATAATTATTTTTTATAGCAACGTCTTCTCGAGTTTCAGTAAAAGAGGCTTCTCCCCTTACACATGCAAACATCAATTTGGGAGCTGTGGAAGGTAATTTTCACATGCAAATGCATATCAGTAGAAATGAGCAGGCGCAGCAATAGGAGTGTTAAAGAGACATTGCACTTCTCTTCTAATATGAAAGGGCAGGAGTTTGAGAAAAAGCAGGAAACGTAGAAACCTAGGGAGTTTCTTTACTCACTTCCCTGGCACATATCTTTGCTTCCATGGTGCTCTCCAAAAAATGTTTTACTAATGATTCACCCTGGCAGAGATTGGGGCAAGCCACAATGGTGGAAGGAATGTGCAGATGTGGAGTTTGATTTGGTTGCACACCCTACTGTTCTGCCTGCTAGCTGCTAGACTTCCGCACGGTCATATAGAGTCTGAGAATCCGATTTCCCTCACCATAAGATACAGTCAGGGTCAATGGGTGTACACTGAGAAGTCCCCAGGGGTATGAAACACTGGTCACATGCCCAGGAGAGAAGTAACCAGTAATCCTGCACTTTCTAAAATAGCAAGTTCTATGATAGACCCTCAGCCAGCAGTACCTCTTAAAATGATCTGTTCCAAAATCATGCGTAGCCTCCGGCATCAGCAGGTAACGTGGAGCTGATTGCCATTCAGCTCTGCAAAGCCCCTCTTGGCTCAGAGACAGGCTATTCCAAGCCATCCTTGAAATACGGGGATTTTTCCAAGGTGCCTGGTGCCCTAGGTGCCTGGACTAACCCTCAGTCATTGTTTCCCTTATTTGTGCTCTTTAGATGACAAAAGGTTCTGCTCCTTGCGCCCACCTCTCTGTCTCTGAATTAGCTTCATGGGGATCCTCTTTTTATGTCCCTGGTCAAGGCACTGCTATTTTTGAATCTTTCTTCAGTCCTCCTTGAGGAGCAAATGTCAGGAAGCACCAAGGGAAGGTCTACCTTTGCCCACTCTGTTCCTTCCAGAAGCTGCAAGCGCAGGCTGATTATCAGCTGGACTGGGGAGGCATTGGAAAGGCAAGAAGAAATGAACACTCACAGTTCTGGGTGCAGAGTCATTGCACAGATAGGAAGGAGAAATGTTCCTTCTTCTTTGTCTCCTTTCATCTGGGAGTTAAAGACCCCCTCTGACCTTCTCAATTTTATGATTCTCTGGGTCTGTAAAGGTGAACCAAGTGATCTTTTTGTCCTGCTTTGGCCTCCCAAAGCCCCCACTTTGGAGGACAACAGCTTTGCCTCTTCCAAAGTTTAGGCTTGATGTTTTGTTTGGATTAGTGCACAAAGAGCTTTAAATGCTTATTTAGCAAGATGACTTGATAGTTTTAGGAAGGGCTACTGGGAAATACAGGCTTGCAACATTTCCCACAACTTCTGCTTGTGGTTAGCTTAAAATACCCAGGAAGGCTTCACTAGAATAGTGAAAACTCACATCAGAAAGACCAGAAATTGAATGAGAAAACGTTTGCCTAATCTCTGTGCAGGGCCAGACAAGTCCAGTTTTCTGCCATTTCCATCTCTGAGCACATAGAGGGATCAGTAACTAACTGACACTTAGCTTTGGTGGAGACAAGTTGAAGATACTTTTCTCTTGCTCCATAGAAATAAACCAATGAATCCTTATTTTGTGTCTAAACTTCTTCCAACCAAAGACTCCCCCCAGTAACACTTCGGATAGCGTGCATACAGACTGGCTGCTGCCTTACTGTGTACAGCTTCGTATCAGGGAATCGGATCACTTTATTGTGATCTCATAGGGGTTGCTGAGGTCGTCTCTGAGGTCTGGGTCACGTCACAGACATGTCTAGGGGTAAAGGGGCTCCTCACAGTGGTATTTAAAGTGATACAATCATGGCTAGACATTAGGTCACCTGTATTCTATTTGGGGCTGTAGCATTGCAGAGCTGTGTCTCCGGGACACATTTTTTACCTCTTTAGCCAATTCTTCATATACAAAACAGAGCAAATCCATACAGATGACAAATGCTTCTCAGGTTTCATTTTACATTATTTTTCTCTACAAGAAAGAACACAATATAGGAGAAAGTAGGGTAAATGATTTTTTATTATTGTCCAGTAGGTACATTAAATACCTTGAAAATTATATGTGAAGCAAAGGAAGATGACGAAAAAGGTATAGTACCTAAGATCTTTAGGATCTGAGGGATGACATGGTGGCAGATTCCTTGGGGTTTTTTTTATTGCATTATATAGTGTGTCCTCTACTTAGAGGCAAAGAAGCTGGTAACTTGGTAATGTCCATGGGCATAGAGAGAAACAGCTCTAAGAAAAGCCTTCTCCCTATAGACAAAATGCAAGAACAGATCAAGTTAGCCTGAAAACTTTTAGACAGTAACTGTACTCTGCTCAAATACTACAGAATAAGCTATGGATTCTCTGTCACACCAAGAAAATCTGGGTGGGGAGCTTAGACTTTCATCTTCACAAGGCTGTAATGAGATAACTCAACAATCCCAAGATGGTAGTGTCAAAAATGGCCAAATTAAGAGCTAAGACTTTTATCACCATTGGTAGTGAACACCCACCCACCACAGTGCTTCTTACATTAAATGTATATGGTGCAAATAGATCAACTGAAAGACAAAGATTGGTGGCATAAATTTGACAACTACATGCTGTCTATAAGAAATTGACTTCAAATAACATAGGTATGTTGAAAGTAAAAAAAGATGAAAAGAGATATATTATGCAATATTAGTTGAAGGAAGAATTGGGTATAATAACATCAGATAAAGTATCCCTCACAGAAAAGAAAGCAATGAAAACATAAAGTGACATTATGGGATGCTTCAAGTGTCAGGCCCCTAAAAAGGTAACAATACCACATAGGTAAGCATCAAACAGTGGAGCTGAAAGTTTTGATTTAAAAAAAGGTGATAAAGAATTGAACGTATTTTCAAGATCCCACAGAACATGTCCCAAGTTGAAACATATTTTGAGCCATAAAGCCTTAAGAAATTTTGAAAAGTTGAAATCACACAGTTTGTGTTTTCTGACTGCTATAGAATCAAACTAGAAACCAATAGTAGAAAAATAATAGGAAAATATTGAGATAGTTGTATCTGAAACATTATATTTCTACATAATCCATGAGGCATAGAGAAAAATCTGAAGGGAAATAAGGAAATATATTGAATGGAAGGAAATTGACAATATAACATATCAAAGTTTGTGGGACTCAAAGCAATGATGAAATAAAAATTAATAGTGTTAAATTCATACATTAGAAAAGAAGAAAAATTTTAAGTCATAAATCTGAGCTACCAACTCAGGAATTTAGACAAGCAAGAACAAAGTATCTCCAATCACAAAATGACAATAGCAAACTTAACAAGGACATGAACAGAAATCAATGAAATTGAAAACAGAAAAGCAGTAGAGAAATTCAATAAAACAAAAAGCTACATAGTTCTTTGAAAATCTCACTAAAATTGATACATTTCAAACAAGACTGATGAAAAATAAATACAGAAAATGAAATTTATCAATATCAGAAATAAAACAGAGAATATTGCTCTCACTGTGTTGAGGTCTTTTCCAGGTTCTTGGTGTTCTAAACAAAGATCAAACAGGCCACCTTAGTGTAACAGCTTGATCAATGATTTATTTGAAAAAGAAAAGACAAGATCCACTCTACAGGATGGGAGAGGGCCAATGACGAGTACTCACAGGCCCAAGGTGGAGTGTGTTGAGGGTTTTAAGTATCAGATTTAGGTGGAATTGAGGGTTTGCTCTGAGGTATGAATCTTGCCAGTGAAGGACTTAACGCAGCCTCTCAGTTGGGTGGTGAAATTTTTGACCATTTATGGCCCTTAGATGAGCAGTCATGATGTCCAAAGCCCACAGAGATGAAAGAGGGTGGGGCAAATTTGCATAGTCAATGACGTGGTCCTTAGGGTTGAGGATTGGTCCCGGGTACATACCTGCTTGGGGACTTTTGCATATAAACTACGTTAGACCCGCATTATTCTGGCCTTAAGATCATGTTTAACTCAGATTATGCCTCTAGTCTCAGAAAGGAGGCTCTAAGGTGGGCTTTCTCCTCTTTTCCTAGCCTTTTCCTTAGTTTCCTTATGCTTGAGATCTATCCCAGAAAGGAGGCATCAAGGCCGTCTGACCCTCCCTACTTTCTCCGGCCTTTTCCTTAGCTACCTCTTGCCTCATTACTACAGACCCTGGGAAGGTCAAAAAGACAATAAGGAAATACTATAAACAGCTTTTACATATACATTTAACAGCTTAGGTGAAATGGACCGCTATTCCTTGAAGAACACAAATTACCAAAATTCATCCAATGTTAAATAGATAATTCAAGTCACACTATAATTATTAAGAAAATTCAGTGATTAATTTAATCCCTCCAACTTGTTGGCTCAGTTTACTGGAGAATTCCACCAAAGTTGGACAAATATTTATAGAAGAATTAACATGAATGCCACAAAAATCTCTTCCAGAAGACAGAAAATAAGGGACAGATCCTAATCCATTTTATGAAAGTAGTGTCACCTTGATTCCAAAAGTATGAAAAAAGAAAACCAATAATACAAAAGCTCTTGGGGCAACAAAAAGCCAAAACTAAAATCTAAAAGCTATTAATATCCTTCATCAATATAGACCTCCAAATCCTTCATATCATATTCATAGTGTTAAGTTAAGCAATATAACTAGTATTATATCCACCTAATGGACATGTGAATAAACATATGAAAAGATATTCAATAAATAGCTATGAGGGGAATGCAAATCAAAATTACAAGAACCTATCACTATAATGTTCATTGACTATAATAAGAAGTAATGGATGCATCAAATACTGGAGAAGATGTGAAAAAACCCAATCAGTCTTATATTACTGATGGAAGTCCAAAATTGCACAGAAACTCTAGGAAACATTTATTTTAGCAAATCAAGTGTACAACTAACATTGTTTATCAAGGAATCACATTCCTAGAAAAAGGAAGATTTATGTTTATCCAGAAACTTGCACATGAGTATTTATAGTGCTTCTATTTATCATAGTCCAAAACCAGAACTATTTCAGTTATCCTTCAATAGAAAAAAGGTTAAACAAATTGTTGTGATAAATCCACACTATAGAATGTTACTGGATAAGAAAGAGAAACAAACTATTGATGCATACAACCACTTAATGGATCCCCAATGAGTGAAAAAGCTATAATGAGTGAAAAAGATTATGGCTATATGATTCCATTTCTATAATTCTTAAATAAAATTGCAGAAATAGAAACACTGACTTGTGGGTTAAGGCGGGTTTGGGTCTGGATGGAAAGAACATCATGAGAGATCCTTGGGGTGGAATGCTGTGTATTTTGATTGCATCACTGTCATATCTTAGTTTTGATCTTCTATTATAGTTTTACAACATGTTGCCATTGGGAAAAATAGAGGAAATAATAGAGAAGATCTCTTTTTTATTACTTCTTATATATATATATATATATAAACAGTTGATGGTATGCTTTATTAGACAAGGCATGGTCCATCTGATATGTCACAATCAGAAACTCACAGCAGTATGGTTTATTTTTGGTACAAATTGTGGTAAAATTACCACCAGATTAAAAGTCATAACAATATAAGCATGAAAAGTACAGTGTTGCTAGTAAGAGATCAAAATGTTATGTAAATAGTAGTACTGACTTCAAAAAGAAAGCAGAATAGATGAAGTTATGTGCTTGATATAATATAATTATGTTGGGGTATATGCAGGTATCTAGTTAGGATATAAAACAATAAAACATTTGCTAATCTAAAAGTTGTATATGAACAAATTTTTAAAAATTACATGTTCACATGACTCTAAATACTTAGAAGTATATTTGTATCTTAGTTATAAGAAAATAAAGTTTATAAAGAACATGAGACACCATGAGTAATATTTATAAAACCAATGAGTTGAATTCTTAAGTTGTGTTCAGCTTCTTGTAAAAGTCCTTGGAAGTCCCACCACAGATTTCTCCAAATATGCACCCTCACCTGGCTCCTTCCCTGCCGTTACCTGCACTGCAGTTCTGCTGGGTTCTTTCTACTTCTTGCATACACCATGTTTTCCCTCCAAGGCTTCCTTGCCTCCTGTTTTTCTTCCTGTCTTCATTTGCTTAGTTAAGAGACGCTCCTCATCTCCACCAGCAAAGTAAAATCTCCATCTCATGGCATCCTACGTCTTCCCTATGCAGAACCAGTCTTGCTTGTCTCACTTGATTTCTGGTTCAGTTTATTTAAGGTCTCCCTTCCTCACTGACCTACAAACTCAGTGAGTGTGGGTGCCTGCTGTGCTTTAACTCACCAGTGTACCTCCAGCACCTACTATGTGCTTGGCATGTAGTCATCTCATTTGTGGAGTGAGTGAGAGGGTGCTTGACAGGATTATCACCTTTCCATTCATAAACCAGCAAGATCTTCAACAATGTTCAAATCTCAGGCTGTCACTCTTCTTTGCTGTGTGTGGCCTGACATCTCAAGAAGAAGGGCGCACTGCTTCTTGAGCTGTCCATCGTCTCTAGTGGATCCTGACCACTCAGGAGGTACTCAAATAAGTGGTCATAGTACTGTGGTCAAATTAGAGTTGGAGGGTGATGACCAGGAGCCAAGAGAAGACATGCTCAGGGCAATGCTGTGGCTGACAAATGCACAGGTTAGCCTCTCCT